AATATTACATTCCATGTTATCACACTTTTATTCATGAAGTCACAGGTTTTTCTTTAAGAAATAAAGCAATTTTCAAAACAAACTACATGTGCACTGTCTTGAGATAACAAAATCACCTAACTTTAATGAAGTACCATAAAAGAGATAATAAAATGGAGCAGAAGGTAATACGCTTTGAAGCATTTGTAAAATGAAACAATGTCCATGAAAACAATATCCCTGGTTCAATCAGCAACTAAGAAAGCAATCTCTGCAAAAGCAAGCATTTCTTTCTAGAGGTAGTCTAAATTACTTCTGAGTTCTTTGCAGGGGCAATCCAGATGACCTGTTGGTCTGGCAACTAAACCTCCGAACCTTTTCTGTCACTGTCGACTACGTCTCCTGCCTTCTGCTCATAAAAATAAAAAAAGGCTGTACCGATTTCACCGCGATGCACTCGACACGTATCCGGAGGCAGCACGCTGGCTGTGGGACGAACTTCACAAGTTGTAGGAGCTGAAGAGAGTATGTAGCTTGTGGACGGCCATGACTGTGGAGCAGGAAGCGAAGTGTGCACTTTACGGCTTCCGCGGGGAGGGCTTCACTGAGGGCAAGAATGTGACGGGGTCCTTGGTGGTCAGGACCTCAGTCGTGGTGGCGAGAAGTTCCCTGTCGCTGGCGGCGTCCGTGCTGGGCACCACCGCAGCGAGGGCGCTGAGGGGCTTCCCGACGGAGTCCCTGGTGGTCGGGACTACCGTCGTGGCGGCGGACCCCTTGCGTGTGGCGCTCCGCACGGGCACGTCTGCGGCGGGTTCCGAACCGGGCGACAAGGCGCTGCCTCAGAGCCTTCCCCCTGTCCAAGAGGCCGACCGGAAGGCCGACCGGAGGGCCGGCAGGAGCCAGCCTCTCGGGAGCCGACGCTGACCTCTCCGAGCTCGGCTCAGAACCGTCCGAGCTCGGCTCAGACTCCAACTCTGACTCTTCAGGGTCGGAGTCTGACTCCGGTTCTGGCTCGCTCGATGCAAGGCAGATGTAGTGGAGCACTGCACATGCCGAAATAATGGCGGTGGCTGTTGAAGGGTGGTAATACAGAGCCCGGTGTACTTACCACCATCACGTTGAGGGCGTAGAAGTACTTGCGGCACCAGTACGCCGCCTTCGTGACGGTGGGGTCGTTCTTGGACGGGCCAACGATGGAGACCATGGTCCCGTCCACGCAACTGATGACGCCGGGTATCCTGCCGAACAGCCTGAAGCCCTTCTCCGCGTCGAACCTCTCGCTCGGCTTCTCGGGCAAGTGGATCCAGCCACGCTGGACCCCGAGACGACGCACGATAGCGACGGACACGGCGCGGACCGCAACGCTGACTGTCTTTTGGTCCCGCGCTACGCGTTCGTCGCTCGCCACCATGCCTTGGAAGCTCCCCGTGCCGTAGAAGCGCAGTGCACACAACACTTGAAGCTCCACAGTCATGACCGTCCACGAGGTACGCACTCTCACCACCTCCGGTTCCTCGCGAAGTTCGTCGCACAACCACCGCACCACGATCTTGGGCAGGCGGTATTGCTTCCAAAAGATCTCCTCCGGGAGCTCGAATGCATCGCGGTGTTCCCGATACAGCCTTTCTGGCGAAAAAAAAAAAAGCTATATTAAAGAAAAAGACGAATTGACGAGACGATGACGCCTCGCCGCCGAAAACATGCTGCCAATGACACCTAGTTCCGAGCAAGTACCTTTTGAAACGTACTCGGTACAAAACGAAACGTCATTTTGTTGTCACGTCCGGTAGCCGACTCCGCCCAGTTTTGCCGACTCCGCCCACATTTTTCTAGGGAAATTACGTCACTTTTGCTTGCAACCAATCAGACGTGATGACGTCACTTCCGTGTACTAAAAAAAGGAACATGTACAATGTCGAACCTAGCTATCCTGAAGCTCACCTTTGCCCTGCCCTGGTGTTTTAGGTTTTCAAAGGCTTGGATGCCCTCATCTATGATTTGAGGGCCTTTCTCTTGGGGGGCCTTGGCGGCTATCTTCCTTACGAGAGCAACGTTATCCACCCTCTCGAGCTTGGGAGCGATGGCGAACTTAGGCCCTTTTTCCAGCACCTATCTTGCTGTTGTGGAAATCTCTACATTGCCGATCACCTGAATCGGATGCTTCCTCTCAGGTTCCTTGGTTAGTCGATGTGCTGCTAAGAGGTGACGCCAAATCGGGAGGAAACTTTGAATCCATAGGTTCTCCGTCGTGTACCTGGTCATTGCGATGTGGTTGGAAAACCAGTTGTAGGTAGGACACCTGGGGTGCTATGTTGCGCTTTTGGGACTCCCAGGAGACTAGGAAGAGGGAAGTGACGTCAACGACACAGCAAACGCAGATTGGATGTTGACAGAAGAAAACGAAATCAACACCCAATCTGCGTTCGCTGTGTCGTTGACGTCACTTCCCTCTCCCTAGTCTCCTGGGAGTGCAAAAAGCGCAACATAGCCCCCCTGGCTCGCAGAATATCGGTGAGGAGGCGGACTTGCCGCCATTTTTCGGATCTAAGGATCTTGGACACTCGTTGAGCGTGCCCCTGGGATGGTTTTACCCCTCCAAAGAAGGATTGGACTTCAACCAGGAGGATCTTCTTTTGTATGCTCCGAGAGATCAGTCTTGCTTGGCAGATGGAAGTTGCAATACAAAGGCATAAGGCCTCCGGTTTCAGAAGGTTGAGATTAAGAATAGGCGTGCTCAGATAACTAGAAAGATAACTAACAGGGGGTAGAAGCTGAGCTACTTGGTGGTACATATTACAACGGTTAAACCAGCTGAACTACGAAATCGGGGAGAAAGGAGTAAAGACAGGTGATCGCTGGACTACCTACTATTTAATAAAGATTCTTCGTTTTCCTCTCTTTGTCTACTGGCGTTGTGGCTACCTTCTCTTCTTTCTACTTGAATTTTTTTTTTGTTCCATCTCGGATACTGGTTTTTCGGAGGAATCTTTCGGAGGAATCTTTCGGAGGAACCAGCGATCACCTGTCTTTACTCCTTTCTCCCTAATTTCTTAGTTCAGCTGGTTTAACCGTTGTAATATGTACCACCAACTAGCTCAGCTTCTACCCCCTGTTAGTGCTCAGATTCCGAGGCTCGTATGCCCGCACTGCAATGCCGAGGAGCCTCCTGATTTGCAGCAAGGACGCTGTGGATTCTTGGTTTCGTGTGTCCACCGCGAGTATGTTGAATCTCTTGTTGCAGCGAATTTCACCAACTTCGGTAGGGGCGTGACTATTTAGAGCCTCCGTGACCTTGAGGCCGTTGAGCTTGTTCACAAGTATCGTCGGGTCTTGCGGTGCGAAGATGACCGTCAGACCGAGTGAAACGATGGCTTTCTTTCTGCTTTCCTCATCACTGGCGCTCTCGATCTTGCGCTTCAGTTTGCGTCTTGTCTTCACAGAAATGAAGTCCTCGTCATCTTGGTCCTCTGGGGCTGATGTTGTTATGTCAGAGTGAGAAGTGTCGTTGGAAGTTGAGTTGTCATTGTTTCCTTTGCTGCCGTCCACGAGCTTGCCACTTGTCCCTGCTTCCGCAGGTTGTTGACCGTTGTCGAGATGACCGGCTGCCGTTGTGTTCGCACTGGTGTCGTTTTCCGCAATCACAATCGGGGGCGCAGCCATGGCAACGGCAGCCCGAAATTGCGACGCCGGTGAGAGCATGAGTATGGGAGGCCGGAGGATACCCTCCGTCCTCCCAGGGGCTGAACGTGGGAGAAGCCGCTGTTCTGTTGGTCGTCTTGTGGTGTCGGCAAGGGATGTCTATTTCCCAGGCTTGTGTTGCGAACAGTTGATCTGGCGCATAACGACGGTCAGGGAACCACCCGAAAACGTATCAAGGAAGCGGCGGTGCGAAGGCGGGATGTCGTGAAAGGCGATCTCAATCCGAACTATAGCTGTCGACGCGAGGACCGTCTGGAAGATCAGAAGCGTTCTTCTTTTGTAGAGAGCAGTGGCTGACGTCTTGTGGCACCGTCCAATGGCAGGCTGGCTCGAAGAACAGCGTCGTCACGCAGACGGCCGAACCTTGGGCTCGTAATCTATCCGGAGCAGATGCCGACGAGACCAGAAGTGGACTATCAAAAACAGGATCGCCGATCTGCAAAGATGACTGGTGTGAGCGTGGTAGCTCTGTGCCGTCGCTGCTGCCAAGTCATATTTGTGCATGTAACACCTAATGTACTCGCAGTAACATTCAATACTCTAATATACCTATATTTCCAACCGGGAAAAACAGCCGTGTTTAAATACACCTGGACAGCCATATATGTGCAAACTGAATCGCAACCTTGCTTACCAAAATTAGCTTTCTTGCATTATCGCTCGTTGAGTGGAAGAACATCCCTAATTCGCAGTCTCATATAAACAACCCATACAAACAATTGCATTAGACTGCGTTGCGAATGTAGGTAACAAGGAAATATATACCTCGTATGCCGTGTCGTAAGCAAATAAGTTGCTTTGTTTTATATACACCGCAGAAAACCTGGCGACTCGTGGCTATCATTATAATGCAATTAAATTCAAAGGTGCAAATCACTCGTGGCTACTTCTTGATGCAATGCAGCCAAAAGCACTAAAACGCAAACTTGTGTATGGTCCTTAACGCCGCTACATGGCTACTTTGCACCTGCATTTTGTACTTTCTTCTATTTTCACTCCCACTTAGCTTTGAGGTGAGCAAATGGTGAAGGCATTCCTCACATTTTGCAAATAAAAAAGAAAAATGTCCGTGAGTTTTGGTTAAAAGTGCCTCAAACAACTTTGACAGAAGGCAGCAAGAATGGAGAAGGTTGTAAGAAGTCCAAAAAAAAAGCATTCATGAAGTGAGTGTAAGGGCGCAAACGAGCCGGTTTAGATTGAACATGACATAATACCCGAGACTACAGGTAAAAACGACACTAACACTAAAAGCACTCACGCTGAATGCGTGCCACGCCGGCGGTGACGTCGAAAAACGCCTACACAAATAAGGTGGTCGGAAGGCAAACTTTTTTTTTTCAAGTAAGGCCTGGCACGTGTTTATGTGGTAAGCACGTTCGCTCTTAATTTGTGGAGTGTGTAAAAGTTCTAGCATCCTTTTTATGAAGCCATAATTTCTTTGGTTTTGCATGCTGCCAAACGTAATAATATACTGTGAGTTTTGTTTATGCTAGAAACAAAAGGGGGAGACATTAAACAGGTCTAACCAGAAAAAAAATATTATTATAATTACAATCCCCCCACGCCTTTCTGGGCCTTCTTGTAGAGCAGCCTGCCTAAGCGGAGGAAAGGCTTTTGCGCTGTTCTCGACAAAAATGGCCGCATTCTGCGTCTTTTTTGTTGCTTTACGCACTGCCTGTAAAGTCCTGTGCTCCTATGGGGCTGTATTTGGCCAAGCAAGGACGCATTATCGCTTGATGTACAGGAGGAACATCGCACCCGGAAAACAGTCACTCGAGTCAACACACACACAAAAGAAATAGATACTTACGCAGTGCAGGCGCTTAATAAACGCAGCGTCGTCGGTCTAATTTCAAAAGGTGGAGTTTTTTTTTTTTTTTAATTGAGTTTACAGGTTCTAAACCGTCCCTGTTGCACGCTGCCATCTGAGTAAACGGCATAGCGGAAACGCTCTAATATTCCAGACCGCCAGTTACAGCTGAAATCGTGCGCATCAAACAAGCTGGGCCGCTCCATGCACAGGGTTACAGCGAGTACACCCACTCAAACGACTTCATTTTTGTAATGACCTAGTTTTCACAAGCTTTGCGATATGAAAGCAAACATCAAAAATTGATCAAGCGAATATATCGTCATGATTAAAGGTGACCAGAAGTCGAACAGTGAACTAGAAATAAAGGTTTCATCGGCGAACTTGAGCCGACAAGAAAAAAAGACGAGCGTCCAGGCAGCAGAAAAGCGTAGAGCGATTTGGCGGCGCAACAGCAAGCGAAAGCGAGACTGACCCGACAATGTCGCAGGTTGCATCTTATCTGGAGCGTGTCGGCATCTGGAATGTCTGGCAAAGAAGCTTCGAGAGTCGCGCGCTCTGGGTGAGAATTAACATGCATTTTTGAGAACAAGAAACAAAGACGAAATTATAAAAGTTACGCACCGAGCAAGAATGAACACCAATCTCCTAGAAGTGCGTGACCGAGTATTGCTTGCTGGGACCTGCGCGCAGAATTTCCCACCGCCCCCCTTTTTTTGAGCGCATAGTCCCACGCCACGCAAAAGGAAAACAAAAATGGCTAAAAAAATTACGGGGAAACATAATAAAGACGCAGTGTCACAATCCTAACGCGCGTAGAACAGATTAAGTCGAACTACGTCGACGACTTCGGGTCGTGGCTGGCGGCGTTCGATGCTCGGGTTACGTCGGGGTGCTCCTCGTATTTCAAACCCCCACGTCGGCGACTGCACTTCTAGGTTTCAAAGTAGCGTTTTAACAGTTTCTCGCTGAGGCTGCTACGGCAAATGGGCGTCTACACCCACACCTTGTATCCGGGCTGGAACTCAACGTCGCGGCGACGAAGGCTGTACCGGTCAGCGTCGACACGTTGTTGGTCCTTTATCAAAAGGTGGGCTAGCTGTTGTACCTGTTCAGCCTGTTGGGTGACCACCTGGGCGTCGTCGGTGCCGTCATCCGCCGTGTCTTACGACAGTATGGCGTCGAGCATCGTCATCCCCTATCTGCCGTGCACCAGCTGAAAAGGTGTAATCCCAGTGGTTTTTTGAACCATCGTGTTCTAGTACGCAAATCTGACGTAGAGCAACACCTCATCCCACGTCTTGTGTTCCACGTCCACCTACATAGAGATAATGTCTGCGATGGTCTTGGTTAATCGCTTCGTCAGCTCGTTGGTCTGTGGGTCGTATTCCATTATTCGACGGTGGTCGGTGTGTCTCAGGCGAAGTAAACATTGTGTCGTCTGCGCCATCAATGATAAGCCTCGGTCTGTAATCAGCACTAGGAGAGCGCCGCGACGGAAAACGGTACACTTATCAAAGAACTTGGCTACTTTCTTTGCGGTTCCCGACGGGAGTACATTCGCTTCGGCGTACCGGGTGATTTAATCAGTTGCCACGATTATCCAGCGGTTTTCTAGCGTCGACGGCGGTAAAGGTCCAAGAAGAACCATTCCAATCTGCTGAACGGTGCAGTCGTTGGCGCGATCGGCTGCAGGAGGCCTGCCGGCTTCGCCTGTGGTTTCTTCCGTCGCACTCGTGGCACGATCGCGTGTATAGATGGACCGTCTTCGGAACCCTTGGCCAGTGTTACTTCCCTCTAATCCTTGCGAGAGTCCCGCTGCAGCCAAGGTGACCTGATGTCGGGTCGTGGTGGCTGGCTTGGTAGATATCTTCTCAAAGACTGTTAGGGAATATCAGAAGCCACGTCGAGTTACTAAACCCCAAGTTCTTTTTGTGAACAATATCTTGCCGGACGGTGAATGTTGGTGGGGCACGTGAAAAGGCTCGCTGAATCGTTCCGCTTCGTTCCTCCTAGTGGTGGATCAGTGCGCGCAGTTCAGGATTATCCTGTTGGAGCGCTGCTATGCCGTTAACGCTCATTGCGCCAAGAAAGCGATCGTCGTCGTCTGGCACAGCCGGTAGCTAACTCGACGGGGGATCTGGACAGGCAGTCGGCGTCGCTGTGTTTTCGGCCTGACTTGTAGAACACGGTCACGTCGTACTCTTGCAGCCCTAACCTCCATCGAGCGAGGCGTCCCGATGGGTCCCTCAGGCTCGCTTACCAGCACAATGTATGGTGGTCGGTGACCACTCGAAAGGGGGTCCCGTACGACTACGGGAGGGCTTTTGTGATGGCGCAGACAACGGCCAGACATTTCTTTTATGTCGTCGAGTAATTGCGTTCCGCGTTCGACGGCGTCCGACTAGCGTATGCGATCACGCGCTCTGCACTCTCATGTTGAATGGACCAGCACCGCTCCGAGCACCGCTCCGAGCCCTGTATTGCTGGCGTCCGTGAGAACTTTCGTTTCGTCGGATTGGTCGAAGAGGCCGAGAACCGGTGGTAACTGGATTCGCCAGTTCAGCTCGTCGAATGCCTGTTGGTGCTCTTCGCCTCATTAGAACTTCACGTCGTCTTTTGTGAGGTGCGTGAACGGCGCAGAAAGCCTGTCGAAATCCCGAACGAACCACGCGTAGAACGCACAGAGTATAAGAAATATTCAGACGGCCTTCTTGTTGGTGGGCGGTGAAAATGCCGCTACGCGCGAGTTTTCTCAGGGTCAGGACAGACACCTTCGTTGCTCACAACGTGATCTAGGACAAAGGCACTTCGTCGGCTTGAGGGTGAGTCCGGCGTCCTGATTGCTTGAAGAGCGGCATGAAGACGTCTCAAGTGCTCGTCAAAAATTTCCCAGAACACCACGCTGTCGTCCAGGTAGACGAGACAGCTCTGCCATTTGAGGCCTGCCAGTGCGGTGTCCATGATACGCTGGAAAGTTGCCGGCGCCCTGAAAAATCCGAACGCCATCACCTTGAACTCGTACAGTCCATCCGGCGGGACGAAGGCAGTCTTCTCTCGGTCCCGTTCCTAAACTCTGATTTGTTAGTAGCCACTCTTCAGGTCCACCGACAAGAGGTATCTGGAGTGGTGCAGCCGGTCCAGTGTGTCGTAGATGCGGGGGAGCGGATACACGTCTTCCTTCGTGACAGCGTTAAGCCGCCGCTACTCTACGGAGAATCGAAGCGTTCTATTTTTCTTTTCACGAGTACGACTGGAGAGGCCCAGGGGCTGCTCGAGGGCTCAATGATGTCGTCTTTGAGCATTTGTTGGACTTGCTCATGACTGGTTTCTTTTTCTTTTAGGGACACATTGTACGGCCGTCGATGCACGGGGAGCGCATCCTCGTTGTTAACGATGCGATGTTTCGCAACTGTTGTTGGACACACTTTCGACGTCGTCCCAAAGCAGTGACTGTACTCGGCGAGGAGGTCCCTCAGCTGTTGGGGTTAACGTCGAGCTGCAGCGGCGGTGTACTGTACGGCTGAGATTGGAAGGGCTCATTGGTGTTTGCGGCGATTTTGGCGGCGCTCCGGTTCTTATTCTACGTGTCCTACAGCACCACCTCCTTTCAAAAGTTCGTCACGAGTACCGCCGTGCGCCCATCCTGCCACACTGTTACGTCTCTTGCGATGCCCATTTCTCTCCCGATGAGTAGTTGGACGTCGCCTTCCACAATATCTTCCCCTTGGGCGACTGGGTCGGTCACGACGGGTACAAGAAACTTCGACCACGGTGGCAGGTTGACGTGGCCCACAATCACTCGGATGGTGGCTGGCGTCGTTTTGGATATCCGGAGGTAGTACGGGCTTTGGCAGCGTCAACCTGTTTGCTTCAAGGTCGATCATGGCGCCTTACTCACGCAGAAAGTCCATGCCAAGGATGACGCCTTTCGCACAATCCTGCATATACTTGCTGAAAGGACCTACACCAAAAACGAATCTTAGCCATGTCATTTCTAGTGCGTTTTAAATTAACATGCCTGATGTAAAATGAGACGTCAATACTGACGCACCCCGGTAGCGAACCTAAACTTTTGAAGGCCTTTTCCCCCTCGCTAAGGGGACACGGCACATGAATCCCAGCACGTGGATGAAATTTTTACCGTAACATCCCGACTCAATGCTCATCCCCGAATATTCGGCCACCACACTTTCAGAAGGAAATATATTTTTAGAATACACCGAGTCATCGACCATTTCTACAAAAGCCTGAACCAAATGTACTCGTACCGTGGCTTGTTTGCTCCGTGCTGCTCCCGAGTTAACTCAAGCTAACAATGTTTTTTTCTTTTTTTTTAATGGAAGCGACGTTTTTATTTTTGGTTGCAATTTCTGAGGCAGGTAGATACATTTATAAAGCTTCCTCCCTACGCGCTTCCGAGTCAACATTTTTGTGATGGCAAACCAACGGGCTTTGATTTTACAATCCTTGACGCTGAAACTCATATAGGCAGGCAATAACTCACCTTGAAAATGCTTTC